TTGTTTATAAATTATCCAGTCTCAGGAATTCCATTATAACAACACAAAATGGACTAGGATATTTTAATTTTGTTCAGCTTGATTTTCATGATTTCTGGGACACCATGATTTGGAAGGTAAAACATTTTTAAATAATGATTTTTTAAAAGACTGTATGAATTTAGGTGAGGAACTTGACCTAGACTCTGAGCTAGCACACTGAAGTTAGAAAGACGGAATGTAGAGAGATATGGGCTGTGGGCCCAGAAATCCTTCCATACTCTCCTGCCTTGGTTGAAGACCCATTTTGCTCTGCCATCCAATGCCAAACTTTTAATTTCATTGGGAGATAGAATCACATGACTTGGATATATTCTTGATCAATTTAATGTGATTTAGAAATATCCTGTATTCCTGCCTCTCCATCACGTTTTCCAGATTCTTGCCATTTCTAAAGGGGGAATGGAGTAACTCAACAAAGTCAGAGAGGGTTTTTTGTTTGGCTCTTTGCCAAAATGCCTATAGGTTAGAGGGTTACACACAAAATCTACTTTACAGCAGTTGTACTTTAAGTAGCTTTGGATTGCTACTTGTCAAACATCAGAAACAATTTCATTTTGGGGAATAGAAAGAGAATTGCTCTCTATCTTAGCAGGGACAGAAAATATGCTTCTGATTAATGGGATTGCAGGCAGTCATTAGAAGGATTGAAAGACTGGAGAAAAATTCCTTAAAATTTTGAACTGTTGCATATGATATTGTATAAGAGTAAGTTAGTTTACTTGTTCGTAGGATTCCTTTATACCCTTTGTTACAATAACTTATGCATGCACTAGCTTGGAGCCTATATCAAAAAACTGCCTTGGTTATTTGAAAATATTACATTGTAGATAATGTTATCTACATATAAAAAACCTTTGCTATGTGAATAATCATGTCACAACTGGGTGAAAATCGTTCAGTGGACAGGTATATGTAGCGAAAGAGAATGGAGGCATACTAGAGTGAATCTGAGGAAAAATCCTGTTGATCTGGATAGTTTAGGCTCCAGGTCCATCTCGGTGCAGGGGGTTGGTTACACAGGTATTGCCAAATACCTCAAGCTGCTGGGTGCAGTACTGTGAAGAATTTGAGGATGAGAGAAAAGAGGACTTCCCAGTCCTCTAAATGTAACAGTCCTTGTGGCAGTGCCATATCCCCCCAGGTAGGAGCTGAGTTGTTGGAAATTTTTCAGTGGAGGGGCCTGGGATAGTGGCAGGAGGCAGAGGTGCTAAGAAGGATACAGGTGGCAGAAGCTAAACTCATAGAGCAGAAATAGGCAGGATTCCAGAAGTGGGCAGCCTTCCAGAAGTGGTGTGCCCAGTATTCTTTTATTCACTAGTTTATGGACTTCTTTGGCAGGGACACATTTTAATGAAGTCTCTTTGGAAGAAAATTTGCATGGCTGAGATGCTGGGTTTTGGAGTTGATGGAACTGCTGCCGAGTTAAAATAGCTTTTTTGTGTGTGCAGGTAGTGTGAAAGAGCCACATACACTATCAGTAAAGCCGCTGTCTGAGAGAGTTGAAGAGGCACACAGACAGTTAAGGTTAATCGGAGTGATCAGCCTGTGTAGGCCAGGAATCTGCATCATTGACACCAAAGCAAGTTGAGTTCAGGCAGTAGATGCTACAGGTGTTAAAAATGGGACTTGCAGAGTCAGACTGCCTGGATCTGAATTCTAGTTCCTCTTCACAATTGCTGATTATTATCATGACAGAGATACTCTCTGTCCTATGTTAAGTGAGACTACTGATAGTACCTGTTTTTATATAGTTATCTACACACACACACATATATGACTATATATATATAGTCAGCATCATCATATCATCTAATACTAATTGGAGCTATATGTGTACAAACTCAATCATCATCGTCATCACCCAATGCTTAACTGGAGCTTTATGTGTATTAACCCATTCAATCCTCAAGAATGACAGACATCAAAATGGACATGGCAGTCAGGAGAAAGTGTACAATGTGCAAAAGAGTAGGGGTGGCTGCCTTCTCTATCTAGCTAAGGGCTCTCTACACCTTATCACCTTGTGGTCCTGTCCCCACCCCAATGACTTGTCTGCTCTCTTTTTTTTTTTTTAAAAAAAAACAACATTGCCCTCAGACCACTTAATTGACACTGACTAATGGCTGGCCTTGAATTAATGTCTGCATCAATGGGTGGATGCCCTGTTTGTATCCGTCTTCCTGGCCTTGCTTTGGGATCTCAGAAGACAGAAATGGTGTGTTCTATTTACAATCCTAGAGTCATAGAAGATTTGTGGTTCTTTTTATCAGATGAGGACCCAGAGTTCTGCACAGGGTTCTTCTTACACACAAAGTAAGGTTCTTCTTACAGGTGGCAAGGGAGGGAGAGTTTGTAGAGACCTTTAGTTGTCTGTCACTTCTGACAGGGATTGCCTCTCTAGTGTCTAGCCTCTAAAAAGTCATCATGTTCCTTAGGTTTCTATTTCCCTTTGCACAAATTTAGCCTCAGGCAGAGTCAAGCACAGCTTTTCGGTTTGTAAAACCTTGACAAGACCTGGAGCCTTTTTTTAATACAGAGCCCCCTGGCAAGGAACAGCTTCAGAGGTAAGCTGTGGGCAGGGGCTTGCTTGATGGTTCCTGGGGGATTGAAGATGGCGGAGAGTTTGTTCATTATACTTCCCATTCTATTAGGAATCCCACCAAACTGGCCCACTGGGTGGCTGGAATAAAGGAAGTGCTAGGAAGCAGCTGGCATAAAGATCTACCCAGCCTACTGGTTGAGGATTTTTTTTTTTTTCCCTAAAAGACATACATTGCCAGGAAAAGCTAACAAAAATTTCAAGGCAGATTTGGAGGAATTAAATTATTCTTAGGCATATTGCCTGGTTTCTAAGCATTTAGGGATATGTAAATGTTCGTGTTCTTTAGAGGTCTGTGTCTCTTTTGTACAGAGTACATTAGTACTAAAAATGAGATTTGCTAGTTCTACATTTTCATGTGAATTTATGCAGTGAATATTCAATTTGATTCTGGATCTTTCAAAAGGAAAGGCTTTCTTTAAACAAATAATATGGCTTATTTTTCTGATATGCTCTACTGGTTTCTTTAATTCTTTTCTCCGACAACTGAAATGCAGAGTAGAGTACTGTCCCCAATTAATATTCTTGTTCCACAAAGACTTCCAGTGTTTGTTTTTGCTTCTTTTAATATGTAACTCTCCTAAGTGTGTTATTGTATTACAGCTAAGAGGCTTTAACCATGTAAAGTTGAATACTTTACACTTCTGAATGCCAACATAACAATTAATCTGTGATTAGATTTTGCTTCTTAAGATGCCTCCACTGACGAGTGCCTATAATATTAAACTTCTAAAGTGTTCCACTCTTTAAAACTTATAAAAGCTCTCTTTGATATAGCCCACTGAAATTGTGTGGCTATTGTTTTTATTGCTTTATTGTGCAGCCAGCTTAACTGAAACCTTTGGGTGACTTTTACTCTTTATAATAAAGATAACATTGAGAAATGCCTGGAGTACAAAGTGTATATGTGTACATGCCGTTCTCAGCCATCTACTCTGACTTAGTAACTCTCTAATTCCCTTGCCTCCACTATGTTTAAGAACAAAAAAGAAAAACACTTCCATTTCCCATTTCCTCCATCAAGCTCTCTTTATAGAGTGATCTGCAGCAGCCGTTGCTACTTCCTCTCTGATATTTTTGAACTCCTTAAGACGTTCTTACTGTCCTCACTACTGGACTGGAATCTGTGTGATGATTCCATCATGGGCGAAGCCCCAAATTATTTCGCCTTGACTCAGTCTCTCCTGTCTGGATGCCTTTGTAGGATTCAGTCTTAGGGATCACATTTTCCTACGTGAACTCTTCTTCCTTGTTTTTGGGACGTTGTCTGTAAACCTTGACTTTCCCTCCTCAGTTACATACATTGAACTTCACTATTTGGCCCTTGGATCATTTTTTTTCTTTTTAACTGTTAATTTGTCCTTGTGAGCGCTTCCATTCCATTGAGTTCAGCCTTGCCTAATTGTGGCTGATTGCCAAGTCCCTAGTGTGTTTCCTCTTCTGAATCACAGACCAGGGTTTTATCAGCCGCTAGCACACTTGCACAGGGGCGCCCAGAATCACCGTCAGCACATCAGGTCACCTGGCTTCTCTTTGCCTGATAGTGCTACAAACTCTCATTCACGCAGGATCAGGCGTCCTTTGCTCCTCTCGTTCTCGCCCCACATTTAAGCATTTGCCACATCCCACATGTTCTTTCTCTGCAGTGTTTATTTCACTCCTCCCCTTTCCACACCTGCTGCCACCTCGGTTTGTGTCCTCACTGCCTCTTGGCCAGACCTCTGCAACATACCTTTCTCACACATTGTGGTTAGACTGATATTCCTCAAGTGCACCTCTGATCCTATTGCTCACTTTTCACCAAGCCCTTTCAGTGTTCCACATGGTGGACTGAATCACTCACAAACTCAGCATGGGCGTGCATGACGTCCTACAGCCCCTACCTAAATCTCTAACCCCAATCCCACTGCTCCCTCTTTGGCTTCAGACTGCCTGTTCTAGCTCTTCTCAGAATATGACATTTTCTTAGTCACTTCTGTAACTAGCATCTCACCACACATTCCGTTCTGTCTTCAGATTCCTGCAGTTAGTGTGCTTTCTCCCTCGTTTGAACCCTGTAGTGTTTAGTTTCTGCCTCTCTTATGACATGTACTAGTGTTGTGGCTCTTTGTGTACTAGTCTTATCGCTGAGACATTGCCTCATGCCGACACTCCTCCCCTCTGCCCCCGCCCAGTGTTCTTAGAAGGCAGCGACTGCCTTACTAATCTTTGTTGTGTATATTGTGTCAAGCAATAGCACACTGGCCTGTGTCTGTCTGCCAAATCGATTAAGTACTTGTTGAATGGAAGTAGAAATTCCAAGTAATACAGATGGCAAAGTGTGGTGTTCATTCTTAAGTCTCGTTTTTTTCATTCCTAGGTGAAGCTCGTGTGTGGAGTGCCACGGTACAATCAGACGACAGATGGACAGTGTGACAAAAGTGTCAGAAAGGATTGGGCCTCGCTGTGAGAGTCAGCCTGGATTCAAAGTGTTGACAAGTTGCTGAAAAGGAAGCCAGTGGGAGGACTGTGGCACGCAGAGGAAGTGGAGCCCTGTCTTCGGTCACACCATTGATGGAGGACAGATGGACAGCCGTATGGCCAGTCACCTCTCCTCTTAAACCTTTGGAGAGTGGTCCTTTGTCCTCTGCTGGACACATAATAGGAATTCTAACACACTGTCTGAATTCACTTTTCATAAAAACGTAAAATCAGACTGCTCTGTACAGCCAGGCTCAACTGTTGTATGGTAGCAGATTTGCAAACATGAGTGCTGAGGGGTACCAGTACAGAGCGCTGTATGATTATAAAAAAGAAAGAGAAGAAGATATTGACTTGCACTTGGGTGACATATTGACTGTGAATAAAGGGTCCTTAGTAGCTCTTGGATTCAGTGATGGACAGGAAGCCAGGCCTGAAGAAATTGGCTGGTTAAATGGCTATAATGAAACCACAGGGGAAAGGGGGGACTTTCCGGGAACTTATGTAGAATATATTGGAAGGAAAAAAATCTCGCCTCCCACGCCAAAGCCCCGGCCGCCTCGGCCTCTTCCTGTTGCACCAGGTTCTTCGAAAACTGAAGCAGATGTTGAACAACAAGGTCAGTATTGATAAGTGGTTGCTTAATGACTCCCTTTCTTTTTCTTTTTAAGGAAAAGTCTTAAGTTTGGGTTGAGTTGTTATGTTCTGGGCAGAAGTTATCTTGGCAACTGCACCTGAATTGATGTGTGGTGCAAAAAAGCTTGGTCAGTCATTACACAACTAGAAATTTGTGTTTTTGACACCCAAAGGAAATTCTCATTAGAGCATTTCAGAATTCAGATTTTCAGATTAAGAGTGGTCAAGGGGTATAATGCAAATATTCCAAAATCCAGAACAACATGAAATCTACAACACTTCTGGTTCAAGGCATTTCAGATAAGGAATACTCAACCTGTGTATATCTAATAATAATTTTGGGAAAGTGGAGGGTAAGTCTAATGTAAGTATGTTTAACATGATTTGTATGGAAAAATAGAGAGAGTAATAGAATGACCACAGAACTCAGCTGAGAAGAAACCATTGTTTTTATAACCCGGTATCTACCTCTTGGTTTCCTCTCCAGGATCGCTGTGGGCAAAGCTGAAACCCAATCCTATAGTTAGTATAAAAGTAAAGGGATTTCACTTCCTTTGTGGGTAGTGTCATTTGTAGCATTAATGCCTATAGTCTGGTTCACCTTCATGAGGGGAAAAAACATTCACTGAATACTTTTCTTAAATGGAAACCACCTTCATTCAAAAACCACTTATTGCTTATTGGAGATGGTCCATACTTGCGCTTCGGGCACAACTGTGTCTTTAAGGTTTATCTTCTGTTTGGTTTCACACAGAGACAAGCCTTATGCTCAGCTTTAGTGTTATCAGCTTTGTCAAATACCGGTTTCCTCACTAGTAAATCACATGCATTTTTCTTTTTTCTCTTGTAGTCTTTTTTCTTAGGATCTAAGAAGGGAATGGGAAGGAATGTTTAAGATGGGTGGGCCTAACTGCAGTAGTTATATATTGAGGAGACCTGACTGGCATCACAGGATATTTCTGGAAGAGATTCTGGTACCATTAATAAGGTGTTATGCCTTCTTTAATGTTGCCTTTTTCTAACACAAGTGAATAAGACAATGAGAACCGAGAAACAGAATGCAAGGGTAAGAGCTGCCTTTCAGTACTGAGTAATAATAGATTGGGAATATTGTGTTAAAGTCAAGGAATTTATTAATGATACCTGAAGGGAAGCCCTTTTCTTTCCCACACCCAGCCCAGAAGGGATACTTATTTCATAAATGTTACACTTTATAATGTTCAAATAATATCTTTTATTATATTGTTCAAAAGCCAAAGTTAATTTTGCTTTGCAGATGAATCAAAAAACCATGACTCTCCACACATACATAAGTGATTTTGTCAACCATTGCAGCACTTAGCAGATTGAAGATACATATGTATAATCGTTTTTCTCCACCAAGTTATATATTTTTCACCTTTTATTTTTTTAAGTTAAAAACATGTTCTTCAGTAGGCTAATTCAAAAGAAAAAGTGATTTAATTTTTCCCAGAATACAGAGCTTTACAGAATCATAAAAATATCTCAGTTGAATTAGAGAAGATTATTTACAAGGTGGAATAAGGGCACCTTGTCAAGAATAGTTACAAAACAATTTTGTAAAAGCAGTCTTTCAGCAAAATTGCATTTGATAATTGCTATCAGGTGTAAGTTTCTTTGGATATGGTGTACAGAAAAGCAAGTCTTTCCTTATAGAAAAAATCATTTTCTCTTTTTATATCCTAAACTATTTTATAATGCTTCCTTTCTCATGTAATGTGATGACAATTGAGATTTTTAGCAGCTTTTCCATTTTTCTTTAATACATGGAAAGGTGGAGTGAAATGAAAATTTTTAGCAGAATTCAAGAAAGAGACCCATGATAATGGCATAAAAGTATTACAGCCTGAATATAAATGAGAAATTAGGAATAACTGAAAGGTTGAAAAGAGAGTGGGCGGGGGGGCCATGTGGGGAGTATAATACTAAACATTCAATTTTCTAGAAATGTTGGTCTTGTATTCTCATTTAAATATTCCTACGAAGTGCGAATTCAATAGCTGCTATGAGTTGCATGTTGAATTGATATGGAAAGTAGTTATAAGGATAAATGGTATATGTTGGAACGTATGAGACTGGTTTCTTTTGCCTCCGTTTGTATTTCTTTGAAAAGCTTTTGCAGTGACAAATTGTATGAAGGCAAGAAATGATAGTTCTGTTCTGTTCTTACTGTAATTGAATTCTTTAGTTCTTTTTTTTTTTTTTCCTTTTAACACCCTCCACCTCCACCTGACTTAGCCAGTTTTTCATGTTATGCTGTGTTTATTGCTTTTAGAAGGTTATTCCTCACCAATCCCCCGCCCCAGGTCTAGGATTTGTTTTGTGGACTTGGCACACCTCATTAATGGGCAGCAGGGTAGATAGACGGTGTGAGGACAGCCTGCATGCCAATTGTGTGTCTGTGTCCTGCTGAGCCTTGCTATCCTCTCTGTTTTTGAAAGGAAGTTGTCATTAGACTCTGGCCAAAAGTACATTCTGTGAGAGATTCCTCCCTGTACGATAGAGTCTTACTTTTCTACTTTGCTTGTATGTTCTTGGAAATAAAGCTGTGACGTTTTACTTTTTGAGAGAAAGAGTCAGAAACCCTTAGGAAATCTTATATACGGCGCTGTACTTTCTTCCAATACATTTTGCATACAGTTTTTTAGGAAGCCCTGGCATATAGATTGAATGAATTGTTCTAATTGGATAATCTTGGATGTTTTGGGACTTAAATACATTTAGTAAGCATGGCCCAAGTCCTTATTTTGCGCTAGAAAGCAAAGATAAAAGATGAAATTAAGACTCAAGAGCCAGCGTGCCCTGAGATGCTCTCTCATGCCTCTCTTCCACCTTAGAGCTGTGCTTTGTCCCCTCTGCTTGGACAGCTCTTCCCCTAGACATCTGAGACTGACCCACTCTCACTTCTCTGCTCAAATCTTTCTTCTCATGGAGTCTGACTCTACTCACGATATTCCATGCTGGGACCTACCTCTCTGCTTTTGCAAATCATTGATTATTTAACCCATGATATCATTTACCTATTATGTTTATTGTTCATTGACTGTTCCCTCTGTTAGATTTTTAAGCTCCATAAGGGGAGGGATCTTTGTGGTCATCCATTATCCTAAGTATCTAGGACAGTGTGGTAGGTTCCCAGTATGCTGGTAAACATGGGCTGCTGCAGCTCATCATCTAACTATTTCACTTTCTGCATTGCTTTTGAAATTGACCACGTGCTCTGAATGTCATGTGCAATCATACAAAGCTTAATGGCCCATCTTGTTTTAGAAAATAACAGCTTATTTGTTATCCACATCCTCCACATCTGAGGCATTCTGCCTTGGCCTTCACCATTGCCTGCTATGTCTCCAGAACTCTTCATTTTCTTCCCAGGGCCTGGGACAGGTAGTTCTGCTGGTGGGAAAGTGGGTTAAGCTGATAGTGCCTTCAGTCACTTAAGTCAAGTGGGTAGAGGGTCTGTCATGGCCAGCGAGTATCCTCAGGGCAAATTCTGTGCCCTTTCTCCCATCCTTTTATCTCCTTCCCTTTGCATGGGGGCTAAAATTGCCAATATGATGATGACATTTCATTTTTCTAGAAACCAGTAGAGCCCTATGTTACGTTCTTTGGAGAGAACCTCTTCCATGTTTTGTTTGGATAAAGAGTGTGCTGGGTGTACAAGGTGGGTGTTACATGCTCTTGGGTGAGGCAGCTATTGAAAGGCAATCTTCTGGCTTAGGCTGCTCAGATCCTGGCATCCCGTCACGCTACACACAACCCCATTCAGCCAGGGTCCTATATTTTCTCTTGTACACAAGGAAATGAGTTGATGGAAAGTGGGGATCTAGGGATATGGGAATAAAAATATATTCCTCTGTCATATGTAAGCCATACCAGTGAGGCTATTTCTCAGGACAGTGGTTTTAACTCATACTTTGAGATCCTTTAATTAAAATCATGCTAATGCAGAATATTTAGACGAGTGAGTCTGTGCCCATGTTAGTTTGTGGAGTGTACTGAAACCTGCTAGCATAAGAGATTACTTACTGCATCTCCACCTCCATCCTGACCTACACAACCCTCCCTGGCTCCTCCTGCAGACTCTGACAGTGGATTTCAGCTGGTTTCAAACGTAAGACATAAAGCGTGCATTTGGCATGGCTTATGTTAAATTTTGATCAAAATCGCTTCTAAACAGAAAAAAAAGGCCGCCATTGGCGTTGGTTTTCATGGTTTCCCGAGGCATGTTATTGTTACATTTTTCACATTCAGCATTCAAGTGTCCCTTCATGGTTGTTGTTCCCTGTCCAGAAAGCAGGGCTGCAATAAATCACAGACGTTGATACACTGTACAGAGGCACAGAAAATAGTGACCTGATCCAAAATTACACACCTCTGCTGAGCCCGTTGGTCATAACCTACTGCTGTCTCCTTGAGGCAAATAGTGCTTGTGCAAGTTATTTGCTTTGCTTCACAAATTCCTGCCTTTATGAATTCTGTTTTCTTTCAGAATATACTTTCTCATAACATTCTTCACCTTCCTTCCTACTTAAATAAGCCTTTGCTGTGAACTTGGAGGTTTGTCTTGTTAACCCCAAGTGATGGGGAAAATCACCCAATTTATGGTGCTGACTGCTCATTCTGCATCTATCAACCACTTTGTTTTTGCAAGAAAGTTGTGTCAGTTACAGGATCTTAGAAGATAAGGGCCTTTGAGCTCTGTCTCTAACTTCTGACCAACCAGAAAAGTTCATCAGGACATTATGGAGATTTCTACCCAGGCATAAAAATTTAAGTGTTGGCCCTCTGTGTTTCAATAGGAAATGAAATATATTTCTAAAAGACGTAATGAATATAATTGATTAAAGAGTGTGTCTGGAAAAAACAAATGTGCTAATTATTTTGAATAAAATCAAATTAGCCTAACCACTTATCTTAGGGTCAGAGAATATGTCATTTGCATATTAAATTACGTATTGC